AGAATGTAATAAATTTGATGGAAAGGGCCAGGGATTGAAATTTTACGAGATACTCGATCGTCAAACAAGTTCTTCTGAGATCAGATATTGAATAAACACTGTTTTCAGATTTCTGCTCAACATTTGGTTTTTCCATGGGGGAACAGCTCATCGTATTTTATTTAAAACGCTTCAATCGGAACAGATGAGGATGCTAATTTTAAATTATGGTACTGTACTTTCTTCGTCCGTCCTCGAAAGACAAAAAGCAACGATAAGTTATTGAAAAATTTTCCTGAGAGCAAGCCTTGCTGACACTTCTTCAGCGAATGATTGCAAAAGGGTGTTGATTAATTATACCAACAGAATACCATTTCTTGACAGTGAATGCAGAGAATGGTTTACAAAATTTGGAACAGTTGAAAAATGCTCAAGATCATGGAATTCTTGTCGAAAACTGAGGAATGTCAGCTTTACAAAAAATAACTCCTAGCTGCTATTACTTTCGTTCAACGGAAGTTTCGAGGCACATTTCTGAGTGTCCTTCATTTCTTTTTATTAAAAAAAAAGCATTGACTGAAGGAGTAGAACATTCATTTTGCAAGAATTGTTTCGTCATAACCAGTAAAGATGAGATCCATAGACACATTTTTGTTCGCTTTTATGAACTATTTTTAAATTTTCAATCACAAAATAATTGACTATAATTGGGCTTCAACGCATAAGGACCGAACGAACTTTTTTTTTGCGGGTTACTGACATATAAAAAACTTTTGAGAAACACATTTCCGGAAGTAGGATGAGAGGGATGAAACACGGGGAAGATTTACGGACACGTGGACCAATTTTCTTCTCTTCCTGGTCCATGGGATCTGATCCCAGGGACGGGAATGTATTTCGGACGACCGGCTCCAAGTAATGTGCACTTCTTCCTTCCCTGGTTCGAAACGGTCCATACACTGTTTTCTCCGCGATGCAAAATGTTTGAACATCAGCATTTAGATTGAACGATTTGGGAGGGAAGTATAGTGTTGGAATAAAGCCCATGCAGCCATGATCTGCTGAGTCGGCGAAATTCCATTTCACCTTTGCATTACATAGACAGAGCTAAGGATGCGTCGAAAAACGGGTTGATATTGACTGAAATAACTCCGACCACAATATTTAGATAACCAACCATAGTCGAAAAAAAAGAGCTTTTAAACAATCTCCCGACACTGATTTAAATACAAACACAACGCAATAATGTCTTATTATTCGATAAGCACGTTCATTTTGCTGATGACATCACCCCCAAACTTCCGTTTAATCCTCAACCTTGATTTTTTTTATTACATTTTCACTGAACTGCTGCACCTGCATCATGATTCAATAAAGTAATCTGTGGAATAATTCCTCTTACCTCAAAACATTTTTCAATAATAAGTCAGCAAATCACTCAGAAATTGTGTTGTAACATGTCGAATAGAAAAGGCATCCCACAATTAAAAAAAAAAGCGTTGTATAATTTTCGGGAGGAAAGACACTAAATCAGTCTTTCTTTTGTTTCAATCAAAAAATAAAAAATAAAACTTCACTGCGTGCCGATTTTCTTGCTTTCCCGCGACCACGTTATCAGCATTTCAAGCTTACTTTTCTTATCCCTGGACCACGGTGCTAATTATTTTCAAAAATGTCTGTCTTAAACATAAGGAATTTTAAGAGCTTGATTTGCATTTCTAATGTGAACAAATTACACAGACCCTTCACGACCGGCTTCAAAATAATGGTCGACCGGGTTTTTAAAAAAAAACGCTGACAGTGGAAAGAACTAACGAAGAATGAATTAGCATTCTCAGCCTTAATTTGCAAGTGCGCGGAAATAAACCATATTATAAACCCCATGAAAATGCAATACTTCCGTCGTATAATGCGTCTGCCTCAGCATCGTTCGGTTCTACTATAAACGCGTTGATGACGAGAACAGCACTAAGGAATTTTGTTATCGCCATGCGGATCAGAACAGATCCATTTTTAGAAAGTCCCCGAAAGGAATGCAAAGATCCTTTCATGCTTTGATCGACTTAAATGAAAGGGACTTTCCAGTCATGCGTGATGGGATAACATTTATTTCATTTTTAATCGTTATAAAAAGGGAGAATTGACAAATCTAAATGCCCATTACTCAGGCACAGGAATTCATGAATTATAGTACTCTATCGCATCATGAATTACAACGACCATAATTTACGCCGCAATTTTCCAGTGGGCTCTACAAAAGGGAATTCAAATATTATTTTCCAAAATTTAAAAGTGTTTACCGACGGTCCTCATAACGATGTTCAATTATTGAAAACATCGGAAACATTTTCATTTCAACAGCAAAAATAAACTTAGCTTTCACGAGTAGCATTCATTAGAGGTTTTTTGGAATGGTTTATAAAAAATCGAGTCCAATCGTTCAATGTTACAGTGAAATCAATTATGGTCTCCATCACAGCACAAAGCTCGAATAAAATTGCATCAACCAAATTACTACCTTTGTTTTCGAGTACAACAGGGCACAGAATAAGAAAATATTTATTTCTATTAGCCAAAAACAAAATTCTCTCGAACTAGACAGATGACAGAACAGTACTACACAAGCTTTCTACAAGAATTCACAAGCGGTGAATTAACATAATATCGACTACAGTTGAACTTCAATATCTCGATCCTCCTCAAGTCGAATACTTCCACAAATCGATTTTTCAAGTCCATGTCTGAATTCCCCAAGAAACACCGCATTCAAAACCTCCACAACTCGCATAAAGGGTTTCGCCCTCTAACCTCCATAATTCTGATTTTTTGGAAGACATTTTTTGGCACTATTCTATCGACACAGAAAGAGAAAAGCAATAAAAATGTAACTTGATTCGTTTTGAAAGGAAGTGAAATATTTATTGGGCAAATGAAACATTGCCTCCAAGTTCAGCATCCTTTCAACTTACATAAACAGCAATCTGAAGCTCAAAATATCACCAATCACAATTTCCTGCAATTCTCTCATCTGTCCCGAACAAAAGTGCTTCTTACTTTAATTTTCTCGCAGGTCCCTTGAATTTAGAATGGAAGAGATTTTATTGTAAAATCTCTCGGTTTTACTCAAAGCAGCTGCTGCTGAGCAATGATCGATCGCAAAGCAGTAGAGGCAATTAAAAAAATAAGATGCAACTTCATTGCATGCCGATTTTCTTGCTTTCCCGCGACCATATCATCAGCATTTCGAACTCACTTTTCTTATCCCTGGATCACGGTGCTAATTATTTTCAACAATTTCTGTCTTGAAGATAAGGAATTTCAAGAGCTTGATTTGCATAAATTACCCCGACCCTTCACGACCTCATCGAAATTCGTGATTAGCAAAAGTCCTGCATTTCTGCCAGAGGGTCTCTCAAGCGTACATCAATCCGCAACTTCGTTCAGAGAATGGAAGGAGTTCAACTACGTACTTTACATATATCGTACTTCAGTGTTGTGCACTTGAGCCAGAAACACGAGTTCCTCTCAAATTAAGCATCATTATTATGCTCGAACACGCTTCAAAGTGACTTCAGAGACGCTGATCACAACAGTTCCTAGTATCAGAAAGCCGTTTTAAATTGACGCAGAACAGTCGGTTCCACTCTTTTATAGATTTTTTTTAACAACTACAAACCTAATGCAGATCCACATAGTGATGCAGGAAATAGTTAGCTGTTCCACATTCACGAAGCTCGGAGCGTTTCGGATCTTTTTCTGCTCCCATATAGAAAATATTGGTGTGCACTCAACAAGAGAGTTTAATATTTTAGTCCTGTATGTGAGACCACAGAACTAAACAGAACAAAACAGGCTTATCTTTGTGCACCAGGCACAAACAAATTGACTAAAATGTGAACCCGAAGTCCAGAGCAAGGTAAAATGGACAGAGTGTTTGAATGTTACCAGGTGGCCCTTGAACATCTGCATATACTGTAAATGAATGCTGTTGTTCATGTGCTAATTTCCCTAGCAGAAATGTTCAACCCTTCCTGAACCCCTTCTGGGTTCTGCTGGTTGCCCCAGGCTGTATACCTGTGCTCACTAATGCGGGACAGCAGCGCACCTGTGCAACCTTGTTTCTCTTTCTCTTACAATTGCTGATACATTATCATTCCATATAATACTGTATATATGCTGCTGGAATATCAAGCAGCCTTGGAAACATTGTTGCTAGGAAAGATTGGTCTCTCAGAAATCAGAATATGAATGCAGTATTCCACTGACCAAATAGATAGCTGCCGAAAATGATTTTTAAAAAAGGCCAAAATCTCTCCTCCAAATGTAGTTCGTGAAATGACCCTCTGAGAAGGAGCAGAGTCTGTCATAAAAATTGTGTGCAACGCATCATATGAAGAAGAAATAAAGCAAGTCTAAAAGAGATTGCTGAAAAGTCACCTTATTTCACCTAGGTACTTAGTGAACCTGGTTTTCCAAAAGGGAGCAAATCTAAAATTAACTATTGACAACAATTTAAGGTCTTCTTCTCAAGAGTTTATGTCAAGGCAAGTTTAGGTCTTGCACTATAAAACCAATTGTAAGACAACAATGTCAATGGAAGAAATAAAAGAAAAAAACACAGCAAATATTTTGAATGGAAATGGGATAAGGAGTGCACATACTGTATAATGAGCAAGGCTGGTTTTTTTATTAAAACAAATTAAATTGTAGTAAATTTTGGAGTAAATTGTTTCAGAGGAGCCAAAGCTTTGTGCAGTATAATACAGGTCGACTCTCTCTCTACAACAATATTATCTGCACTCTACATCAATCTTCCCTGTATATTTTGTTTTCCCATAGGATTCTCTTTCCATTTTATGGGATTCTCTACAACGGAATTATCTCGAGAAATACATTTTCTGATCCCTTGAATTTTGTTGTGGAGTCCACCTACACAGTATTGTATTACTTTACCAAAAAATTCCAAAGCCGTATAGAAGCTGTCGAATTTTGCCTCTCTACTTTTACAACAAAAATCTCATTCAGCATCTGCTCGAAAAAACGGCTCATGTCACCATTAGTAGTCAGAAGTATCTGTTCAGTGAATTGAAAAGGTACTGTGATAACAAAAAAGCTCTTCACCTATGCATCAATGTCAACCAAATTCCCCCATCAACTTCTCACATCTGGCTTCCGTTTCCATCCACTCCAGGCGTCATACCGGCTTTATTCGCAATTTGTTTTATACGAAGTCACGACTTTATTCGAAATTCCTTCCTCAAGTTCAATATAACGACAGGCATTTCTTTCAATTGAATCTCGGCAAAAGTTGCTCCCATTTTGTTGGAAACTTTGAGAAAAATTAGCTGCAGATCCATCGCCACTTCAACACGTGAAATACATTAAATCACGCAAGCAGCCATCCCAAGAAAATTCCAGGTGAAATCGATGTAGAAAGATCGCGGATTCTATACAGTCCAATAATTTTTTTTAATTTTGCAATGGCTGTTACAAATGTACAATGCCCGAAGTATTGAAAACGAATTGTCATTATCTTATCATCGCAGATATTCCACTAATCATTTAATGTTTGCTAAGCTATACGTAAAATTTATTTTTCGAGAAAAGCGTTCAATATATGACTAGTATTGGATGCTTTAGCTTTCACACGCAAACGTTGAATGCATCAGCAATACTATCGTACATGTATTGTCAAGTTAAAATGAAAAGTTTCGAAGCTGGGACATGTGCCTTAGGCCATTTAGGGTCTGTGAAAGGAATCTTTTGCTGTTGCGAAGGAATCATGTTAGGAGCTGCCAAAATTTTTCAAGAATACTACCTTTCCTCATTCCTCTTACGAAAAAATCCTGGAATAATTACTCGGATAAGGTCAGCTTCAGCATCTTCAGATAACCTGCTTATGAATCTCACGCCAAAGCGCGTCTAAATCAGTATGAATTCTCCTGTTTCTGTTGCAGAGCTTCAGCATAAGGAAAGAAGGCATTTATAGACAGAGAAACAGTTACGCAGGTCCATACAAAAGCAAATTCATCCGAAATTCAAATTTCCCCAATGATGAAGTAAATTAAAGTACAGTACATTAATTTCAACTGTGAAAAAAAATACGATTCGCAAGAATAACTGACCTGCCGGCTCTATAAGCGTTGCTGAGCCAAAAAGAGGTTGAGTCCTTGACAAGCTGGAGGTGCACAGAGCCTGCAAAGTCACAGAGCCAGCGCTGGGCACAGTTGGGTTCTTCGGATGCGTGCACGTAAATGCCGACGAGACTCATGAGCGGCTCAGCCAGGTAACCCCTCAATTGGGTTCGTACTGAGTCGTCGTCTTTCGAGTCATCGCCAATCCCGACTAGAGACGCAAATGCCCCAAATACTTCGGATTCCATGACGGATTCGATCACTGCTGATACCAGGTCCGCGGGGGACTCGATGTCGGAATTGAGCGACACGAAGTCGTCCACCAAAGATAATAGTCTTGAGATCTCGGGTGACTTGAAGACCTGAATGAAATATTTTATCTTGAGCACCACACGTATGAAATGCGGAAAAAACACCATTCAACGTCAATTCAATGGCTCCAGGTAATGATAATGGCAAAAATTCACGAGATGACGCTGGGTTAAATCGTTTGGCTCATCAATGTCATGCGTTTTTCTCATTCAGTCACAGCATTATAATTTCCTCAAAGCTGTATATTTTTCCTCTTCCTCCTAAATTCTGGATAAAATGCATTACTGATGAACTCAGGAGTGTCAATATCTTCTCGTCGCAGAAATTCCGATTATATCATTTAATGTTTGCTTAGCTATTTGAATTCGCTTTTCGGGAGAAACTCTCGCTGTTGACTAATATTGGATGGTTTGACTTTTACACGCACACCTTGAATGCATCAGCAACACTCAACATAGTAAATTTATGGTCAATTACAATGACACGTGTCTATACTCAGAACATTATTGCTCTTAGTCTCTGTGAAATGGTTCTTGCCGGGGTAAATGAATGAGAAACCACGAAGGAAAAAACAGTAATTAATGTTCAAACACGGACTTTGCGTTGCATAAACAATTGATTTCTGACTCGATTTGACACAAAACTCACTTTAAATTTATTTTCTTGCCATTGACCAGCAATCGCCTGAAGAGTCGGATTCTTTAATTCTTGAAGTATTGCGAATGCATTCGAAATTTTTTTCGGAAAATGTTAACTCACACAATTTTTCAGAACCTCTTTCGAAGTGGGGGAGGAGAGGAAAGAACCAGTGATATCGCTCAAAGGATCTCAGAAAATATAATAAAAACTTTTCATAAGGAGAAAACTTTTGATAGTGAGAAATTTTCGAATGAACTCATCATGAATATATATGCGCGAAGTACACACCTGATGTGAGCAGAGTTGGTAAAATGATTTCAAAAATTCCGAATCCTGGAAAATGCATACTAACTTTGTCAGTGAGTTCCGCGAGTTTCATCGGATCTGCGTATTCGTGCGGTCTTAGGATCATGTCCAGCATCGTGGACGGAACCGCAACTTTATCCATAACTTCCGAAGTTATCTTCTTCGATGCTTCTGCAACTCTAGCATACAAATCTGGGTCATCCGCTTTTCCGAGCTTCAGTCCGAGTTTCGTAAGGAAATCCGAGAAGAATAGCCTTGAATGTGAACAGGAAGAAGAAAACAAATTCTTGTCAGTCAGCAGCCGGGATGGAACATGAACACACGCAGAAAAATCCCTTCAACAAAATGTATAAGCATCTTGAGACAAAAAATTTTGATGCATAAGGCCCGTCACTACCGACACTCAATTCAACCCAAATCACAGCAATATTCTTAGACGATCAGACCAAAAATTCGATCGCAAAATCGTAATCATAGTTCATAGAACTTTCTCAAGTTATTATACGCATTAAGTAAAGTACTATCAGAGCACAGAGCTCACTTGATTGGTCTACCCTGATTTCATCAAATAAACCTTCCAAATAAAGAGAACGGATTAGAATTGGATCCCTCAAATAGAAAACATGCAAGATAAATTTTTAATTCGAATACTTGGATCGCACACCGTAATTGTGTGATGTCAATGCACTACTGTACATGCAATTACGGTACTCTTTCCGTCTAAAGAATGGAGGTCTGATATCTTACGCCCTTTTCATCATTAAAAGAAACATGCCCGGCACTTTAATTAATGTGAACAGGCAACGAAATTGTTCACTTGAAGTAATTTGAAGCAACTGTTCTCGTCTTCTCGAGGTATCAACGCGTGTTTGATCAGAAATTTTCACTTTTCCAAATGTTTGGCATTTTTCGGAGGCACCCGATTAAATTTTCAGAATGAGGGTAAGCATTAGAATGGAAGAAATCGACTTCGAATTTTTGACTCCAGCATAGCAAGAACTACGCCTGAAAAGCAAAGTATTTTTATTTGGGAAAATAAACATAAATTATAATTGAGAAATGTCATAAAAAAACGAAATTCAAGAAGAGGAGCAATTCACGATTTATTTCTATTGATCTAAAAAAGAAAGACAGAAGACTCGAACTTTAGAGATTTGAACGAGAGCAGAATCCACTCTTGTTCACTGACATTTCTCCAATGGGATTATTTCTTGACAATCATAATTCTTTTTTCTTCTAAAAATCTCCAGAACAACTGTAAATTCTTAGCTTAATGTTACTGAATTACGTAGAACGAAAATCATGCAAATACTCTTTTCCAGCGAGATTGATTTTCTATCGAACTTTATTCTTGATTTCTTCCCACACTCAGCGTTCCATAGTATTAATTTCTCTCGGGGTGATCAGCGTGTCAATAAGTACTTTATAAGCAAACTATAGATGTTACTCAAACTTCCTTTCAAATGCTGAACTCACGTGAATTGGTCCTTCATCTGCTTGTCCAACAAGGAGAAACCCTCGGTAGCGAACATGTGCAAAGCGGTGGAAATCTCATCATTCGTCACATTGGTCAGATTCACCCTGACAGCGTCACTTGCAGCAGTCGGAAACTCCCGTTTGTCCTCCGTTGCCGTTTTCGGTCCGCCGACTCGGTCTTTTCGATCTGCTTGAATTTTGGCAGCTGCGAATAACTTGTGCAGTTCCTCGTAGGTACTCAGGATTTTGGCAGTTGCCTTCTCTGAAGGTGCGACTGAGCTGAACAACCCCATGGCTTGAGGGAGCAACGTCTGGATGTCCTTGCCGATAACCAGGTTGCCAACTAACGTGCCAACCTTCTCTGCGTTCGACGGGATCAGCAGCTTCTCGCAGGCAGATATTATGTCCTGTTTGACAATGTTCAAGGTGAAACAAATTTAGATTCCATTTCCTTTTCGTCGGCTAAATCTGCGGTGCGCTCTTTGATTCACTTCATTGATCAACATGAATAAAAGCATATACTTCTGCTGCGTTTCGTGGGAGCACTTCATAATTGCTTATTCAATTCCATTCTTCAATTGAATAAAAAAAAACCTTCCTAACGCTTCGGCTGTTCGATAATAAAAATGTTCAGGATTACATTTGTATTCATAACTTTTTTTCAAGTTTGACTAATTTTTTAGAATCTTCAAATTTGAGAAGCTATAGAAAATATTACATTTCCTATACAATTATTCAATGCCAGGCTTCAACGGGATACACAAAAAATACCACTTAGGCTATTGAATAATAAAAATGTTGAAGATTGAATTTTTTTCCATAAAATATTTTGTAAAGTTTGACCAATTTTTCAAAAATCTTTAAATTTGAGATGCTTTAAAATCTATAAAAAGTGTCATCGATGTTCATGTGATGCAAGTTCCTAAAAGGTTCGAATCTGCAGTTGAAGAATGCTTCTGAAGAACATGAGCACGTGTCAGGATGAAACGTCCCATTTAGAAGCACAGTGTATAATTGCCATTCATTACATTCGAGTGAAAAACAAATTAATTTTCATGGTTAATACAAAGGTATCCCCGAAAGAAATTCGGAGAAAATCTCCAAGTGCAAAAAAGCAGGGCTGTTTTTCCCAGCTGACAATTACTGTACTTCGAGGGCTTTCCTAGAAAAATTACAAACTTTTACTCACGTATTAGTGAAGTATTCGAAGCAAGTCGCAGAACGTGAGTCTCCTAAGACCCGGGTAATTGAAACTTTCGACTTATACTAACCTGGTCAGCGAAAAATTGAGAGAGCACTTCAGCCATGACCTGGTAGTCCAACTCTCCAAGCATTCCTTCCAAATTGCTGAACCCTTTCAAAGCACCTTCCACAGGCGGGAACAGTTTCAGCAGATCATTTTCTCGCAAATTCACCAACTGCCCGTCCAGTACTTTTCCGCAAAAACGAGCAAAAGCTCGGAAATCGGCGTGCTGAGTAGTCTCAACAAATTTGCGAAGTTCGGTAATGGTCTCGAAAAAGCCCTTGGAAGCAGCATTGTTGACTATTTTGAGAATATCGCAAAGGAAACTGTAGGCGTTTGATTTTTCCATTCGTTCGTGGCCGAGAACATACACGACTTTTTTCACGTCACCCAGAGCTGAGTCCATGGACTCGGTCTTGACCAGCAGAGCTGTTGCAAATGTCAACATGCCCTGAAGAGAAATTTAAAAACAGAAAAAACCTCTTAAGCAATGCTTATAAACAGTGATGCAATTCATTTTTAAAATTTTCAGACGGCCTTCAGAAATATTAAAAAAAAAACAATTTAATCTTCAAGGGTCAAAAATCTGACAAGCTCGCCCAAACAAAACAAAAAAAAAATTATCCGGATATTGGCTTTTCAAAAGACATGAAATTTAATTTTCAATTGATGAGCAAGAATTTGTCCCAATCAATGCGGCAATCAGAAAATCCCCTTCACAAATTAACAGCTGCGCTTTCATAAAAACGATTATTATTGATTCCATATGTTGCGGCAAAAATTTAAAGGGTTCCGCTCAAGAAACTTCTAGAGTCGGAAAACAAATAACTTCATCTCAGTCAAAGGTACAAAATTGACAAAACTTCTGAACCCTCTCTCACATACGTATAAAAAGTCAAAAACTAAAACCGTACTTCTAAAAATTATCGTAGATTTGCAAGGCAATCCCCGGCATCAAAAATAGGTAATCTATCAGCACAAACATTACAACATCCAGTGCTAATGACGAGTTGCAGATATACCTCGTGTATATTTACAAGGGTTCTCACCTCGAAATCGGAATCAATCTTGTACTTCTTGATCAAGTCGGCGATCTTCGGCTTGATGGCAAAGTTGGCAGTGGCGAGATCTTGCATAAATTTACTCGAGTCCATGGACTTTCCGTACGAAGCGAAGTTAAACAAGGCCTTCTTGATGACGTTCACCACAACTCGTCGAGCTTCCTTTTGATTTTCCGAATTGGCGGATTCAGCCCATTCTAGCAATGCTTCCGAGATAAGGTCTTGTGTCTGTGACGATTTTTTCAAATTTTCCGCGGATTTGGAACTCAGGTAGCTCTTTTGCCCCTGTTCGGGTTTCGTGTCGAAGACTGAACCCAGGTTTTCTTTTACTCCGTCGATGTCAATGCCGTTCTTCTTCAGGGCATCAAACAGATCTTCTTGATCGACTGGAAGTGTTCAATAAAATATGACTTTAAGCGAAGCTGCATGGTGAAATTCAATAAACGTACTGTAGACTCTAACATGTATAAAACTTATTTTAGAGGAAGAAAATTACTGTACATTATTTGATTCCTTCGAAGTTAAACTTGAGGAATGCAGTAAGGTATTTATTTATTTTCTGGTTTTTATATACCGCACCTTGAACGACCGTTTTTCGTAATTTACCTTCAATTTCATGCAAAGATGTCTCCGTTTTTGAAATTCATCAAACTTTCTCGGACTCAATTTGTTACGCTTAAGCTAAGGCATCAGGTGTATTTGGTTCAGCTATACGTTTTAGCTCTATGGTCAAGATGATTTTGATTCCGGTTATTGACTTCTAAGTTTAGGTAGGTTAGTCAGGGTGTTCTGGGTCAGATTATTTCCTGATGGTGATCGAATACGCTAGTTAGATGTTGAACTAGTTCATAAAATTTTAATCGGTCAAATTGTACACAGACAAAATATCAGGAGAGATGCTGATTATGAAATCAAGTTAGCTTCAGTTCTATAATTTTTTTTTTTGGTTTGGCTGGATAGGGTGTGTTCAGTCAGATTCCAGAAAAAGGCGAAACCTGCATGACGTTTTCCAATGTTCATCCCAGCGGGGTGTTCAGAATTTTAAAAAATATATGGAATTTTTCGCACGCTGCACACACGTAATTCCTTCAAATTACCTTGTCTCGTTGGTTTCGTACCGTTGATTTTTCGTTCCGGTACTATTTTCCCCACTGTGGGTACTGATTCGTCGGCATCGGCTGCTGCTTCTGATCTTCTCGAAGATGACGGACTGCTGCTGCTTTCTGCAGCTTGTTTTTTGTCAGCTGCCGGTAGAGGTTTGCCTTCGCTATTGCCGAAATGCTCCATCGCAGCGGAGAGCAGAACATCAACAACACCATCAAAAGGGTTGTCCGCACTCTTTGATCCCGACGCCTTTTCTCTGCCCATCACCTATGATTCAATACAAGGAATGGGAAAATTGTGAACCATGGGCATTCTTCTTCCTGCTTTCATTACTGCCTTCTTCATCAGCATCAATGCTAAAAGAAACTCTTTACATTTTTGCACAACAGGGTGGACCAAGAGAAATAGTTCAATTATGAATTTATCCACAGCGATGGTGAGACTGAGATGCACAGGGATGCATCGTTTTTCTATATCCGTGTACTATTGAAAGATTCTGAAAATGTTTCTCATCCAGGACAAAAAGCTCTTAGGCCTTCGTTACCTTGCAAGCTGTAAATGAATGAAAAATACCAATGATTTATACTGTATACAGCAGTTACGACGATTCTCAACACGTGCTGCGCGGAGCCCCGAAATGTACTAATAAAGTTTACAGGGGCTCCGCGGATGCTGAAGAAGGGGAATTTGGATTGAACTAACAACTAAGCATGAAACAGGGGGATTCAAATGGTGAAGGGAAATTTGGATTGCATTGAACATTAAGAGGGGTATCGAAAAAATGGCAAGAACTTGTGTGCTGGTAATTTTCAATGAATGGAAGCTATCCGCAGAATTTTGCCATTTTGTAGAGATAAAAGTACTGTATACACATACCGTTACATAATAAAATTACTTGTACTGTATAACGTACATTCATTTTCGAGACACGTAAACTTCAAGTGTTCCTGAGGTAACTTTTCATGTCAACAACGGCTCAGGCAAAAAAATCTTCTGTAAGAGGACTACTTTAAATTATCAAATAATTCATCTCTTCATGAGAGTATAAAAACATTCGAATTAATTGACTGGATTTTCGTTTTCCACGCAGTACATATACTGTACAGTACTTTGGAAAAGTGTCCGGATCATAAGGCAACTCATCAGAAATACTTTATCGATGATTAAATATTTTTAGCTTCAATCAAATGAAGACTTTCAATTATTTCAACACCGCTTCTGAACGGAGGATTTATCAAAAGTTGGAAAAAATTCAAGGCGAACTGCATAAAATCTAGAATGCTAGATCACTAATTTTCACTGTAACACCATTTGTAAAATAATTTTCTGAAATATAGTATACTGCAGTTCAATACTGTATATAGCACAGTATTCCTATATACACTACTTCAGAATGCTCACGATGGGTTCAGATTTCAAAGTTGAAGTTTCGAACATCCATTATTCGATCACTTCGTTCAAAACAAATTGCAAAATCGAAAATCCGAAACGTAATAAAACTTTTTCCGCTACAAAAATTCCATTTTGGATCCTGCTTAAAAGTTGGGCCTGTTCCCCCTTCTGTTCAAAGATTCTGCTGAATTTTGAACGAATGAAAGTCATGATCAAAGAAACAAATTCTCTCGCAACACAGTTCATTTGAGGTCCAACAAATCGCACTATCGAGTACAATACTGCTCACTGATTAGATTTCATAAGCAAAAAAAAGCCAGTTTCTTTCACACTTCACACAGAGGACAGAAATAGTTTCTTTCAGCTGAAAAGGCATAAATAAATTATGAGAGGCAAATTTTATAAATGTTCACGAAAGCTCTTCGATCTTGAATCACAGATGACTGATTAACTCGTGAACCGACCGAAAATGTGCCGAAGCAAAACCACATCTCCAAGCATGAGCAATGCAGCGGAAACGTGGTTCCGAAGAGTCACTCATTGCTGGTCTGCATTCATAAACCGGAAACTTCATGAAACCAAGCTCAATTTATCCTTCATATATATAAAGAACCATTATTACTATCAGTCTGAAAACGAACACATCCAATCCTGAGATAGTTTTCGAAGAAAAAAAAAAGCAAATCGTTCGAAGTTTCGGTAACAATTTGTTCAACAACGATAGGGAACGCGAATTCCCAAACCGTTATACTGTATTATAAATTATTCAAGCTTTCCAGGCACTTTCCAAGAGACCTGCATAAAAATTAAAACCCGTGTATTTTTTATGGAAAAAATTGTGCATTCTAAATTGAGCAGTTCAGTATCAAATTCCAATAATTCTGAAAAATTCGTGAATTTAAAAGATTCCACAAACAAGAACCAAGAAGAGGCAAAACTATGCTCATATTTTGTCATGTTCATTAATCTTATAAATTCAAAAAGTTTACCCAGATCTGTTTTAAAATTTCAGCGTTTTTGGTCCAAGTATTCGTAATGTGAAACGTTTTAGTTCCGTGGGTCGCTTTTTTTCTTGAGAATTTTCGTTACTCGGATTTTTCGTAGCGCGGGTCTTTCGTTAAGCAAGGACTCGATGTACAGTACTATAATCTCAATCATGTCTTCGATTGCTTCTGAATATTTTTTTCCTTGACCTCTTGAATCATCGATCAATCGACGTATACAAAAAATAATCACAATTAGTCAGCTGCTTCGATTTCATTCAGGTAGGAGAAAAGAAGCGACTGCGAACTTTCGTCTTGACCCAACGAATTTATCCTCTGAGCTCATCTGAGCCTTATATACTGTACAAGAGGATAATCAAAACGAAGATTTACCTGGCTGACCATTTTTGAGAAGGCCTCGAGTTGGTGAGAGTCGACTTTGCTGAACATCTCCTTGCCCGTCTTCCAGTAGTCCGACCTGGAGAAGTCCTGCACGAGGTTCATCAGCGTTGAAGCTTGCCCATCACGGTCGCCCATCAGCGCCGGCAGCAGTGCTGCCAGCATCCCCAGGGAATCCCCACCCGCCGCATCACCAGACGCCCCATTATCCCGTTTATTACGGCCTCCGGAGAGGCCCTGCATGAAATTGGACGCAAACACAGAGCCCAGCTGCTTCGCCATGTCCAGCACGTCGTCGTTTATGGCACTACCGGGTTTTCTGGTCGCCTTCGCGTCATCACCCCGTTTCTGACGACCAGAGGAATCCGCTGTCAGCGTGCTCACGAGGCCCATGATGGCGCCGAGACCGCCGAGGCCACCACCGGCATTCTGGCCGCCGCCGAGAGCAGACAGCAATGACGCCGCCATGGCCAAAGGATCATCTCCAGCTGGTTTCTTTCCGCCACCTTGCTTATTAGATCCTGAAGGGGAGAAATCGGAGGATGAAACCTCAGCCTCAGAAGTCAGATCAGTGGGGAATACTGATCTAAATAATACAGTCGAACCTCTTCAAGTGAAACTTCAAAGAAAGAAGCGAACATACCGTATTCGAGTTATGGAGATTTTGAGTTAGACAAACAAGCATTTTTGTAGCAAGAAACAAAAGAATTGCAGGAAAACGTGACTGGTGATATTCTGGGCATTAAATTGCTTCTTGGACGAGTTGACAGGATGCTGAACTTGGAGGCAAGGGTTCATTTGCCCAATTAGTAGGAAATTCGCTTCCTTTCAAAACACATCAAGTTACTTTTAATTGTTTTTCTCTTCCTGCGTCAAGAAAATATAA